GCGTGGTCGCGGAAGAAGTAGGCAGACGCACCGGAGTCAAGTGTGAAGGACAGTGAAGCAGTAGCAGGAAAAGAAAGGAAAAGCAAGTGTGGAGCCTAGGCTAGACAAAGCAAATGATCCTACGCCTGACACAGCAGGGGAGTCTGTACTACACACAGGTGCTACGCCTAAGCTAGAGAACACCGGGTAATAAGATCCGGACACACTAGAAGCGTCAGCATACAGAGAATGCAAGGCAGAACTAATTTGATCCATGTGTAAGTCAAAAACAGGCACACCATGGCGTAGTAGGCTGGGCCAGTCAGGGAGGTCCGGAGCCGGGCCGAAGCGGCGACGAAAGAGGTCGTCGAGGCGGCGGAAGCAGCGGGCGGTCGGGTGCGGGCGGCGACACACAGTGCCATGGAGGGGCCCAGTCAGGGGCTGGTACTGGCAACCCACTGCTCCGAATCCGCCGGTAGACGCCGAGCTGCAAGGACCGCCGCCTCGGCCACCACCTCCAGGAGCTTCCGGCCACCCTGGCGGGAGGCGGGCCCACGGCTATTGCTGCTGCTGCTAATGCAGCTGCTTTTTCTGCTGCGGCTGCTGCTGCGGGGGTGGCGGCTGCTGCTGCTGCTGCGGCTGCTGCTGTGACTGCTGCGGCTGCTACTGCTCCTGGACACCTACCGCAGCCCCCTCGCTAGAACCATTGTCGCTGCCACCACCACCACCACCACGCCCTCCCTTGGGGCCGCGACAGCCCCGACGCTGACGCTATTGCTGCGGGAAGGCCGCCGCTGCGGTCTCAGGGGTAGGAGCAGCTGTAGCTGTTGGTGCAACCCTATGGCTTGCACTCGGCTTGTCGTCCTTGTTTGTGTGTGTGCATGCATGGCATGGAATGAATTGTGAGTCTATGTCATTGCTATCCAGTCCTTGTGTGTGTGTTTGAATGGTGTATCACTATGTGGTTTGTGTCGGTCAAGACATTAGCGAGTTTTTACAACTCGCATGTCAAGTCGTCGTTTGTGTGTCGCATGCGTTTTTTCTATTTTGTCGAGTGTGAAGAGTCCATCGCGTCGCAGGTGTGTGCAGCAAGCCCCCATCAACTCAAGAAGAATTTATCTTGCAGATCCAAGACCAAGAGCTCAAGATTTCAAAGCCCAAGGGACGCGGATAAATATTAAATAGTGAAAATAGTAATGCTACTTCGTGTAGTGTTACATTTCACTTGGTGTAGCCCCTTGGATGGTTGGTTTCAAGACTCTTCGTGGTTGGGGACTCTGTGGTGGTGTACCACCAACCTGGACTCCGGCTCTTGGGGTATGTAGAGGCTGGGAACCATCTCCCTCTCGAACTCTTCTTGCTAAGTTTGTACTCCTAAGACTATAGTGGCTGCTGTACCTCCTGCGAGTCAAACCGCCATAGCGTCGTCAAATCTTCATGGAATTTTATGATTTAACTTGCTGCTGATAGACGACAGTAACGCGCTCCAGATCTCATTTACAGATCAACTTTTGAGTCAGTGAGCAAATCGTTATCAATATTTGAAGCCGTCTGACGGAAATCCGACTGTGGTCTCTATCTCTCATTATAGGCACATCTGAGCCTATTGTGATTATAACAGTAGCGACCGCAGCGGAGACGTCCGCGTACGTGCACTGGGAGGGAGCACAGCCCTAAAAGATAGGGACTGCCGCAATACCGCTCGACTGAGCGATAGTGCGCTGGCGAGTCTCTATCTCAGAAAGGGCAGCAACAAAGGAGGTCAGGGTGAGGTCACCAGGGTGCTGGCTAAGCGGTCAGAGAGGCGCATGGCAATAAGGTACAGGGTAGCGAAAAACGGTGGGGGGAAGGCAGTGAGCTGGGCAGTAGTGCTCGCGGCATAGTAGCTAGTCTCTAGTGCACGGAGGTGAGTGTCGAGATCAGCAACAATGGGGAAAGTAGAGAGATCGGGGAAGAGCATGGGGAGGATCATGCGGCCAGCTAAGGCGGAGGTAGGCGTGGAGTAGCATGCAACTACTTCATCTAGGAAATCCTTGGCGTTCGCGATAGTAGTGAAACACGGACGCTCAGAAAAGGGAAGCGCATGACTAATGGCAAGCTGGGCTACAGTATCGCGAGAATCCCAGACAGCTCGAATGAGTGCAGCAGCAGCAAAGGCCTCACTCTCAACAGTGGTGGGGTCAGCAGGGGGGATCAGGGGCGGAGGGGCGAGGAAGCAAGCCATCAACATGCATGGCCAGGGAGTGCCCATCTTGGCGCTGACCTGTCAGGTGCCGGCGGAGATCCACAAGCCAGGCGGCGAAGTCGATCGCGTGCCCCTCCGCGCCCAGACGGAGCATGGCGTCTGCCATCGCGCAACCACAGTGGCACCAAGACACAGCAGCACAGGTTTACGGTGGCACAGTGGCACAGGGACTCAGCAGCACGGTGTGACAGCGATGCAACGGCAGGACTCTCTGAACTGAACCGAACGGAAAGCAGAGGAGGGCGCACGAGGAGTCGAGGCGCACAACGAGCCGGTGTGTGGAGAGGGGCCAGCAGGGCGCGTGGGGCCGGCGGTGCGCAGGAGGGGGGGGGGGGGGCGGCTAGGTGGTAGGGGCCGGATAGCCTTTAGTGGCCGGCTAGGTGATAGGGGCCAGCTAGGCAGTAGGGGCCGGCTAGGTGGTAGGGGCCGGCTGGGCGCAAGGGGCCTACGAGGCGCGAGGGTCCGGCTAGGCGCGAGGGGACGGCAAGGCGCGAGGGGCCAGCTAGGGTGCGAGGGGCCGGTCGGGCACGAGGGGCCGGTGAGGCGTTGAGGGGCCGCCTAGGGCGCGAGGGGCCGGTTAGGCGTGAGGGGCCAATGACGGCACGAGGGGCGGGCGACGGCGCTAGGGGCGAGCGACGGCGCGAGGGGCCAGCTAGGGTGCGAGTGGCCAGCGAAGGAGCGAGGGGCCAGCTAGGCGCGAGGGTCTGGTGAGGCGTGAGGGGCTAGCTAGGGCGCGAGGGCCGGGCTGGCTCGTCGCAAAGGGGCCGGCTGGGCGCTAGGGGCGGACGACGACGCGAGGGGCCAGAGAGGGCGTAAGGTGCCAGCGAAGTCGCGAGGGGCTGGCCACGGTGTTAGAAATAGACTGCAAATACCACATTTGTATTTGTACTTTTATATCCTAGTTTAGGTTGTGAATGTTCTAGTGGGTTGGGGTGTACTCACAAATCCCAACCTCACCCAATTGTGATCCCCCCAATCTCCAATTACCCAATTGGAGATTCCGGAGATCCCAATGGGGATTCCCTCCAATTCCCCCTTCATCCATTCTCTCTCCCCTTGCCATGTACTTATAGAGCCTTGGGCTCCTTACCTAATCAATCATTTCAACTCTATTTCTTATATGGTATCAGAGCGACCTATCCGCACACGCGGATCAAGGTCCTAATCTTAACGTACCCGCACTACGCGCACTTGATCGTTGCGACAATCGTCGCGAGTCGTCGGAATTTCGACGTGATCCACTCTGCAGTTGCGCCTCTCATCATCGACCGCCTTCGCGCTCGACCTCGTTGAATTTCTCATCTGTGAAGCTTTCACGCTTCTCATCGTCGATTTCCTCCTCAGTTCTCCTTGGTCGAATCTCAATTTCGACCATCTCTTAAAACTCGTTCTTGAGTTTCCCCTCAGACCCCGCCAGAATAGGCGAACCCCCCTCGCGAAATCGCCTCCACGAACGTCTCACGTCAAGCAAGAGCAGGTACACAGATTGAAGCGGAGCGAGGCTGGTTGCGGAGCTGGTTGCGGAGCTGGTTGCGGAGCTGTGTAGCTGCAGGACAGGGCCTGGGGGTGTGTGAGGGGGGTGTCTGGGTCCGGGGTTAGACATAGGCTCTGATTAAGTTTCAAGTCGGCGTTTTAACGAATTTTCGCCGACGCCATTTCCTACTTAGCGGCATTTTGATAAAGCCGTCAGAGTGATTTTCAGCAATTCTCGTCGACCAATTTCCAGAAGTGCCGCGCTGCACACCGACAATGGCTTACTCAACCACTTCACTCGCCAACCCGATCCCGCTCCTTCGTCTCGAGCCGGACGGTACATGCTCCAACTACAAGGCTTGGCGCTATGGTGTCGACAAGCACCTCCTCAGTCGCGAGGTGAAGGGGCTCGAGCTCACCGACGTCCTTCTCGAAATCGGTGACGGCAAGGAGCCTCCTAAACCCGAGAGGTCCGCCGATCCAGCTAATGCCGCCGCCGAAGCAGTTTATGCTGCTGCACTGCTCAAGTACAAGAATTGGGAGAAGGGCGATGGTGCGGTCATTAGTGTCTTCATGGGCACCACTCCTCCCGAACTCGTCGAAACCTACCACAACTACCCGTCTGCCAACGCCATTTGGCTCTACCTCGAAGATCGCTTCCTGAACAAGACTGCAGTGGGAGTTGCTATACTCATCCCCAGCATGTTCCAAGTGCGGCTCGAGGACTCGCCAGGCATGGCGGACTATGTCACCAAGGTGCAGTCCATTCATGGTGAACTCAAACAGTTGGGGATAGTCTTCCCCGAGCAAGCCCCTGCAGCCGCTCTCCTAGTCGGCCTCACTCCGGCATACGAAGTCACACGCAAGATGCTCTTGGGCCTTGCTCCTGCAGACCTCACATTTGCCAAGGTCTCATCCGCGCTCCTTTCTGCCGAAAAGGACAACAGCGCTCAAGCCAAGGCCAATGCAATCCGCGCTCCCGTGCCTCAAGCCTATGCCGCTTCGGCGCCATTCCAGCGCAACCGCTTCCCCCCATGTCCCTATATCATCAAGCGCGGCCCTCTGATTTCCACTGGCCGTTTGGGAGATTCGGGCGTGAACACTGAAACCATCGGCTCAGAGCGCTATCGTGCTTATAAGGAGAGCCGACTCATTTGGGACCTGCAGCGTAATGGGGGAGTCCACCGGCGCATGTGGCAGATTCCCGTCCTCCCATGGCCTAAAGGGAATGAGCCAGCAGCAGCAGCAGCAGTTGAAGAAGCCATGGATGATGGGTTTAGGGGCTGAGGAGTGTGATGAGGGGCTGATTGCGGCGGCTGGAGCAAGTGCGGCTGTCAAGGCATCGGCAACCTCTGGACAAGCCTCTTGGGAGACATGGCATAGACGTCTTGCACATGTGGCTGTTTCTACATTGGAGGTGATGGCGAGAGAGCAGAGTGTGCAAGGGCTTCGTCTGCATGGAGGCAATGCTGATTCTCGTGACTGCGAGGTGTGCATGCAAAGTAAATTTGCACGTTTTCCCTTTCATAGAGTGGATGGTTCTGCCAAGGCACCATTGGAAGTGGTGCATATGGATCTGGTGGGTCCGATGCGGACTGAGGGCATTGGTGGAGCCTTGTATTTCCTAACTCTGGTGGATGACTGGAGCAGATTTACATGGGCGCGACCTTTGTCAAAGAAGAGTGATGCGGCAGCGGCAATCAAGGAGGATTGGTTGCCAATGGTTGAAAGGCAGTCTCAACGGTTGGTGAAGGTGCTGAGGAGTGATCGTGGTGGCGAGTTCCTAGGAGCAGATTTCACTGCTTGGCTCAAGAAGAACGGCATTCGACACCAACTGACCTGCCCTGGAACACCACAGCAAAATGGCATTGCTGAACGAGCCAACAGAACCATTGGCGAGGCGGCCAAGGCATTGTTGAGGGATGCTGGACTTCCCTACAAGTTCTGGCCTGAAGCTGTTCGCCAAGTGGTGACCGTAAAAAACAGAGTCTTGACGCATGTTGGCGAGCAGCATTGGGTGCCCTATGAGCATTGGCTTGGGAAGAAGCCGCTTGTAGATATGCTGCGGGTGTGGGGCTGCATGGGGCTTGTGATGGTGCCAAAGGAGCAAAGGCACAAGCTTGAGGTTGCTGCAGTGTGGGCCGTCCATCTAGGGATGGCCCCCGACTCCAAAGGGTGGCTGATGTGGGACCCGAGGAGTAAGAAGACCATTTTGAGCCGCGGCGTCAAGTTTGTGGAAAATGTGATGTACAACGACTGGCAGCAGCAACAGCAAGTTCAGATTGGACAAAAGCTGCAAGAGCTCCAGAGGTCAGCTGTGGAGGAGGTTCAGCCGCACCTTGATGACGCCCTGGGTCAGAGCTGACCAGTGACCACAGTGGTGGTGTCGAGCAGCCCACTGTTGGAGATGAGCCTGAGGAGGGGCTCGAGGATGCAACGCGTGTGGACTCACCATCAGTGCCTATGACTGCTCCACCAGCTAGGGTCACTAAGAGGAGTGCACAGCAAGGCGCGTCAACGCAAATGCAGCAGAGTACAACTCGTGAGAAGAGGGCAGCAGCGCCACCTTCAAGGCTAGGGTATAGCCGCTTGGGAGGACCTAAGCAAGGTGCGATGGCGGTTCAGGCGGATGAGAGTGATGATGAGGAGAGTGCTTTCTGCTTTTTCACCACTCTACCTAGTGATCCAGCCACACTACATGAGGCATGGACTGGCCCTCTGAAGGCAAAATGGAATCCTTCAACTGATGAGGAGTTCAACAGTCTCATTGAGAATGAGACATGGGATCTTGTGAATCTACCGAAGGGGCGACGAGCCATCGGCAATAAGTGGGTCTTTAGGACTAAGACCGGAGCTGATGGTGAAGTGGAGCGGTACAAGAGCCGTTTGGTTGCCAAAGGGTTTGAGCAGAAGGAGGAGGAGGATTACAAGGAAGTGTTTGCACCTGTTGCTAAAACAGGAACCTTGAAGACCTTGCTGGCCATTGCTACTATGAAAGGTTGGAGTGTGAAGCAGATGGATATCATCACTGCATTCCTGAATGGGGTGGTGGTGGAAGATATATATATGGAGCAGCTAGTTGGATATGAAGATGGGACTGGCAGAGTGTGCAAGCTTAAGAAGGCAATCTATGGACTTAAGCAAGCTCCAAGGTGCTGGTATGAGAAGCTAGCGGAAGTGCTCCTTGCTGGAGGCTTCAACACCTCTCAAGCTGACCACAGCTTGTTTCTGCTTGGTGAGGGGGAGCAGCAGTTGTGCTTGCTTATCTATGTAGATGACATCTTGCTGTTCTCCCCATCCATGGAGCAGATTGAGAGGACCCAAAAACTGTTGATGGACAGCTTCAAGTGCAAGATGCTTGGGGATGTGCATTACTACTTGGGGCTGCAGATTGAGAGGGATGTGGAAAAGAGGTGGCTGAAGATGCACCAGCACAAGTACATCTCTGGAGTGGTGCAGCGGTATGGCATTCTTGAGGGTCGTACTGTGAGGACACCTCTCCCTGCAGACTTCAAGCTGAGGAAGGCCACTGAAGACGATGTGGTACTTGAGGAGGAGGAGATGAAGGAGTACCATTCTCTGATCGAGAGTGTCATGTATGCAGCAGTTCAGACAAGACTCGATGCTTCTTTTGGAGTGGGTCAGCTTGCGAGGGTTGTGCAACAACCCACTGCTGAACACTTGGAGGTTGCAAGGAGAATGGTACGCTACCTTGGATCTACAACATCTGCTGGAGTTCAGTTTTCTATGGCTGGACAACTGAAGCAACCTGGAGCTGAAGGGGTGAAGCCCGGATCTTTGAAGCTTACATGCTTTACCGATGCAACATGGGCCTCGGAGGATGAAGACTGCTCATCCATTGGAGGCTTTGCTTGCATGATTGGAGGAGTTCCAGTAAGCTGGAGGTCAAAGAAACAAAGTGAGATCGCTCAGTCTTCAGCAGAGGCGGAATATATGGCTTTGTACCATAGAATTAAGGAGATCGTGTCCCTGCGGAAGCTGTTGGAAGATATTGGCGAGAAGCAGGATGGCCCTACGCCACTATTCACAGACAGCAAGGGTGCTATTGGGATGGCCACTAATCCGATCCTGAATGGCCTCAATAAGCACATGAAAATCAAGTGGCACTGGGTGCGGCAGATGGTGAAGGAAGGGGTTGTGGAACTTCACCATGTGAAGGCAAGCAAGCAGGCGGCTGATTTCCTAACGAAGCGTCTTCCTGGAGATGCACACTGGAAGTGTGCTAAGATGTGTGGAATGGCATTGTACTAGATGTTCCAATGCATGAATGTGATGGCATGGGCCTGGTTGGATGAAAGATCATTTCCACATGCATGTGTGTGCATTCCATTAGTCTGAGGGGGATTTTGTTAATTGCACATCAGCATGAGTGCATATCATCCTAATGTCCTGCCGTATGATCGTCTCATTCGTGCATGCATGTGTGCATCAGCATATATCACATTGCTCGCCATCTTGGATATTCTCATCATCCTGATTTTCTCCCAAGATTGAATGCATGGAAAATGCAGGAGAAAGCGTGAGCATTCCAACGACCCCAAGATCGCCCCAATCCGACCGATGATGCCGAAGTTACAAGAATTCCAAGATTGGAAGTTCTAATGACAAATGCTATACCTCGGGTATCTCATGGGTCTTATAATGGGGATCTTGTGGTTAGATGGTTGGGGAGAAAACTTTGACTTTTGGTTGGGGTGGCTTGGTTGCTACAAGCCAAAATATTCAAGTTTTGCAAATGTTGCAACATCTTGCCAAATCCAATCTCTTTGGATTTGGCATGTGTCCTCACATGGGCAACTTGGAGAGGGGCCTATGGTGTGCTTCTAGGAAGGTTCTAAACCATTCCTAGACATCAGGAAACCTTGTTTCCCTTCCAGGGCCCTCTTAGAGGTCTGAACCCCGAACCATGTCGATATGGTTGTGTGTCTTGCAAGTTCTATCTACTTTCCATGGCAACGACCAGCAGTTACATTTTGATTCAGTTCTCACTCTAGAGTTAATCTTTTCACCTGATTTAAATTTCAGATGACTCTAGACTTATAGGCGCGTCCTTCCACCAAGCAGATTGGCGTTTGGTTGAGTTGAGGTTCTGCTTAATTCGTGCAAAGTAGGCCGATCCTATCAACACTGCGTTCACCTGCACCTCTCGCCGCCCTCTCCCAAGCGCAAGCTGCCAGCACCACACCGTGTTCATGTCGCAGCTTCGCCAACCCAACCATCCTCTACCACCATCGCTTGGGCAACTTCCGTACACTTGCCGACATCGCTTCCAAGAAACTTCTTCTTGGCCTCCCGTCGGCGCTTCCTCCACCAACAGACTCGCCTGCACCCACCTGCCTGGACTGCACCAAGAGCAAGCTCAGGCAGCAGCCGCACCCTTCCTCCCCATCCGTCGCAGCTGCTCCGCTGGACCTAGTGCACATGGATGTCTGGGGCCCAGCTCCAGTCGCATCCCGAGGCGGTCATCGGTACTTTCTTACATTAGTCGATGAACACTCGCGGTATGTTTCTGTGCACCTCCTGCATACCAAGGCGGAGGCACCTGATGTCATCATGGCATGAGTGCGCCAGGCTCAAGTCACGTTCGGCACTCCTCTGAAGTGCCTCCATTCTGATGGCGGGGGAGAATTTCGCAATGGCAAACTCGATAACTTCTGTGCGGCCCAAGGGATTCGGCAAACCTTCACGCTCCCCGAAAGCCCGCAGCAGAACGGCATTGCAGAGAGCCGCAACCACACCTTGGTTCAGATCGCTCGCTGCCTCCTCAGTCACGCCAACGCACCACGGTCACTCTGGGGATATGCCCTCTTCCATGCGGCACTCCTCTACAATCTTTATCCGCATCCCCACCGGCCCGACACCACACCTACCGCTCTCTGGCTTGGGGTCACCCCTTCCGCCTGCTCTCTACGCGTCTGGGGGTGTACCGCGTATGTGTTGCTAAGCCCCCACACGCGCAGGAAGCAAGGTGGCAAGCTTGGTTCCAAAACCCAGACCTGCATGTACCTGGGGCACAACTCCGACTCCCCAGACTACTTATTCCTCAACCCAATCACCAGACAGCTGATTCGCAGCCGTGATGTCGTCTTCGATGAGACACGCCCATTCCGACCACGGGCGAGCCTCCTCCACCTCCCCCGACGCCTGTTTGGGCAGACTTTGATGCCCCACCTCCGGCCGCTGCCCCTTCTCCGGGGCCTTCTCCGTCCGGCGTGTCTCACCCGGCCTCCCCAGTATCCTCTGCAGCGGCACCTCCTCCTGCTCCGCCTTCCTTGAGCGTCGAGCCCGGCTCACCAGTCTCCTATCGGAGGCGCCCAGTCCCTCCGGTCCCACCGCAGCCGCCTTCGTCTCCGGTCTCTAGTCGCACTCATTCCAAGGGACCGGCTCCGCCTCTCGCCTGGGGACCAGCCGCCTTCTCCATCCGCTGTTCGGTCACCCCGCCTCCTCCTGCCGGGGGTGATGTCCCCTCCATCCGTAATCCCCCCCGTGCACTTCTGGAGGACAGGCATGAGGAGCTGTTTGACCTTCACGCGGTCTGCCAATTTCTCTCACACATCTTCCCGGACATTACTGACTGCCCTTTCCTCAACTTCACCGAGAACCCGACCATTCCGACTCCTCACACAAAAGAGGAAGCTCTCTCGGGGCCTTATAAGGAGTGGAAGGCAGCAATGGATGTGGAGAACGAGGCGTTCATTCGCAACAACAGCTTTGACGATGTTGTTTTTCCGGTGTCAACATCGTCGGCGGAAAATGGATCTTCCGAGTCAAACAACTCCCAGGCGAAGCTCCACTGTTCAAGGCACGATACGTGGCGAAGGGTTTTTCCCAGAAGGAGTATCTCGACTTCTTCGAAACCTTCTCGCCCACGGCCAAGCTCCTGACTGTGCGCGCTCTTCTTGATATAGCCGCTTGCGGCAACTTCGAGATCAAGTCCATGGACGCCTCCTCCGCGTTTCTCCAAGGCCAGCTCAAGGAGGATGTTCACATGGAACGCCCACCGGGGTTTCCTGGCACTTACCCTGCCAACACAGTGTGGAAGCTGAAGCGCCCAGTGTATGGCCTCAAGCAGGCTCCTCGTGAGTGGCACAACAAGGTGAAGGAAGTCCTCCTCGCACTTGACTTCCATCCCTCTGCCTCAGATTCCAGTCTCTTTGTTCGTCACTCCTCCGAGCCCTTCTACATCCTCGTCTACGTCGACGACTTCATTCTAGCCGCCAGAGATCCAGCCGACATGGCAGCTGTCCAGTCTGCTCTCAGCTCCGCCCTTCTCATGAAGGATCTTGGTGACCTCAAGAACTACCTGGGGATGGAGATCACTCGTGACCGCCAGGCTTGCACGATCACCCTGTCCAAGGAGTCCTACATTGACAACCTTCTCAAGCGGTTCGACATGGACTCCAGTAACTCTGTCTCCACTCCACTCCACTCCCACTACAGCATCAGCTCACGGCCCCTCCAGTTCCTTCTCCTGACGCCTGCAAGGACCCGTACCCTGAGCTAGTCGGTTCACTCATGTATGCCATGATGTGCACTCGACCAGACTTGGCTTACCCGGTTAGTGTCCTCTCTCGGTACGTCTCCCCCGGACGCTACACTGCCTCGCATTGGTCTGCAGCCAAGAGGGTCCTCCGCTATCTACAAGCCACCAAGTCTCACATCCTCACTCTTGGTGGTACCTCTCCAGTCAAGCTCGAGGGATACACAGACTCCTCATGGGCCGATGACCAGACTGACAGATGCTCCTCCCAAGGGTATTGCTTCACCCTTGGTAGCGGAGTCATCAGCTGGCGCTCCACTCGGTCCTCTGCAGTCTCCCTGTCGTCCTGCGAGGCCGAGCTCTACGCGGGCACAATGGCTGCTCAAGAGGCACGCTGGCTCTCCTTTCTCCTCGCTGAGTTAGGCTACCCCCAGCAGTCGCCCACCCCGTGGTGTGACAACCAGAGTGCCATTCACCTCACCAAGGATCCTGTGTTCCACTCTCGCACCAAGCACATCGAACTTCGACATTTCTTCATCCGAGATCTTGTTCAGAGTGACCAGCTAACGGTACGGTACATCGCCTCAGATTGCAACCTCGCCGACCTCTTTACCAAGGCTCTCGGCAAGGCTGACCACCATTGCCTTCTCCGTTCCATGGGGCTATGTGCTCCTTGATCGGGTTTGCAGTCTATGGGGGTGTGTTAGAAATAGACTGCAAATACCACTTTTGTATTTGTACTTTTATATCCTAGTTTATGTTATAATGTTCTGGTGGGTTGGGGTGTACTCACAAATCCCAACCTCACCCAATTGTGATCCCCCCAATTGTTGGTGCATATTCGTTTGCACGTCATCCTGTCGTCTGTTCGCATCATTTCGTTGCATGTGTTTTGTATGCTACGTTGTTTGTGTGGCTTGTTGGGTTTGCATGTCTTTGCATGTTCATCTTGTGCTTGTGCAGATGTGCTTGGATTGTACATCAGATTGAGCGCATTCCAACGAGCCAAGAATTGTTGGAATCGGAGCACATATGAAGAAGTTACGAAGAAATGTTTGATGGATTTGTTACAACTCATTGGAAGTCCTTGGCAGCTGCTACACCAAAGTTGGAGAGCCCTATAACAAGGAGGGACCAGCATGTGTGGGGCTTTTGTCCCCACCTTGCAGTTGCAGCACTTGGGGTTTGGAGACCAACCTGGCACAGTGTGAATTTTGTCTTGCCAGGCTGGCTGAACCTGAGGATGGGGAGTCAAGACTTTGACTCTTGTCATGTTCTTGACCAAGGGCCTCCAGGGTCCTTCCCTTTCATCCTTCCCTTCCCACCCCACCTTCCAACTATGCTTCAATGCCTTTTCCATCATGCCTCTGAACTTGTAAGCTTCTATCATAGTGACTCTGAGGACTGTCAATTTCTCTTAGGGCAGATTACCCCCCAGTGCGCCAAACGCCATAGCTCACTCGATAAGCTATGCAATCGAGTGATTCAACTTTCATTTGAAAGCTGACGCGGCAAGCTACAATATATGCGATTTTCAGATCGTTTCATTGATTGGAGTGTTGGATATGGCTTTTCGAAGGTCGCGAGTTTTCTGGGCGTCATAATGAAGTGCTGCAGAAATTTCCAAGGAGCCATTGAATAATCTGCTTATAGCCTTCTCTAACCAACAAGCAGCAGTCGCCGCAGCCGTGGGCCCGTCTCCCGCCTGGTTGGCCCGGCACCTCCGGAGGTAGTGGCCGTGGTGGCAGCCCGCGCGGCTCGGTGTCTACTGGCGGCTCCGGTGCTGTCACTTGCCAGTACCAGCTTTAGACCGGGCCTCTTCGCGGCACTCTGTGCCGCCGCCCGCACCTGACCGCCCGCTATTTCCCAACGCCTCGACGATCTCTTTCGCCGTCGCTTCGGCCCGGCCCCGGACCTCCGTGATTGACACAGCCTGCTCCGCCAGGGTGTGCCGATCTTTGAGTTAGACATGGATCAGATAGGTGCTGCTTTGCATGCCTTGTATTCTGACGCTTCTAGTGTTGCTGGATCTTATTACCCTGTGTTCTCTAGTTTAGGTGTTGCAGCGTTGTGTAGCTTAGCCTCCCCTTCTGCATCAGGCGTAGGACTGCCTAGTTTCCCTAGCCTAGTCTGTGCACCGGCTTCGTTCCCGGCCTCCGCCACTGCTTCTCTGTCCTTCACTCTCGACTCCGGTGCTTCTGCCTGCTTCTTCCGCGACCGTTCCGCGCTCACGCCGCTTGCTACGCCTGCTGTTGTCTCTCTCGCTGACCCCTCTGCGGGTCCTGTCGTCGCTCACAGCTCTACATCCCTTCCCTGTCCAGCAGTTCCATCGGCCTCCCTTACAGGCCTCTATGTTCCCTTGTTCTCGAGGAACCTGGTTGGTGTCGGCTGTCTCCAGGACCTCGGCGTCACCACCACGTTCCCCGGGCACGAGCGGCTCGCTGTCTGTTCTGAGGTTGTGTCAGGTTCCCCCCTTGCGACGTTCCCCCAGGACCCGGTGTTCGGTCTGTTTACCCTCGACACCGCTTCCCCCCCGGTTGGTGCATCCTCCCAGGTCGCTGCAGCTTGCTCGTGTCGGTCCCTTACTCACCCGTCCCTTCTCTAGCACCACCACCTAGGTCACCCTGCTCTGCCACGTCTGCATCACATGTCCCAGCACGGTCTTGTCTTAGGTCTCCCTGCGTCGTTCCCTGCCCTTCCTCCCTCGACTGCGCCACCGTGCACGCCTTGTGTCGAGGGCCGGCTCCGCCGTGCTCCTCACTCCTCCTCGCTGCGCCCCGCTACTGCCCCCCTTCAGACCCTGCACCTGGACGTTTGGGGCCCTGCCCCCGTCCCCGGACCGCGAGGTGAGCGCTACTTCCTTGTGCTCGTCGACGACTATACGCGCTACACCACGGTGTTTCCCCTGTAGCGGAAGGCCGACGTGCCCGACGTTCTTCTCCTGTGGGTTGTGGGTGCGCGTCTTCACCGCGGTCTCCCCGTGTTGTGTCTCCACTCTGACCGTGGCGGCGAGTTCGCATCTGGTCGGCTTGGACAGTTTTGTCATGCGGAGGGCATCACCCAGTTGTATACCTTGCCGGGCTCGCCACAGAAGAATGGGGTTGCTGAGTGCCGCATCGGCTTGGTCATGGAGGTCGCCTGCACCTCCATGATTCATGCCAATGCCCCCCATTTTCTGTGGCCGTTCGCTGTTCGCTACGCTGCTCACCAGCTTAACTTGTGGCCACGCTCCCAGCGGCCGCAGGTTTCGCCGACACTCCTTTGGACCGGGTCCCCAGGTGATGCGTCTGCGTTCCACGTCTGGGGCTGCCTTGCTCACGTCCGTGCCTCCGGCACGGACAAGCTTACTGCCCGCACTGTCCCCTGTGTCTTCATCGGTTCCCCCCTGGACTCGTCTGACTGGATTTTCTACCACCCGCCGTCTCACCGCTTCCTCCACTCTCGTGACGTCACCTTTGATGAGTCTGTCTCCTTCTACCGCCACTTCCCTCACCGCGGTCTCCCGGTTGCCCCGCCCCTGTTCCTTGCTCCTTCTCCCCCGGTAGCCCCTGCTCCTCTTCCGCCTTGCCCTGCCCCGTCTGGTGTCTCTCACGTCACTCCCCTCCCGTTGGTTGTCCCCGTTGAGGAGTCCGCTGACTCTGGTGGTACCCCCAGCCAGTCCTTGCCGCGTCCCCCTTCCCTGGTGTCTTCGCCTCCACTGTCGTAGTCGCCGCCTCTGCCGCAGCCGCCGCCGCCGTCGCCGCCGCTTCCGTCGCCGCTGCTGCCGCCGCCGCTGCCGTCGCCACCGCTCTTGGCCCCTGAGGGTGCTGGTGTGGAGGAGGGTATTTGTCCTACGGCTTCTGGGGGTGCCGCCGGTGTTGGAGGGGGTTCTTGCTCTGGGGGTGTTGGTTCTGGGGGTGCTGCTGTTGAGGGTTCCGCCGACGGTCGTCCTGCCTCTGCTGGCTCGAGGGTTCCGGCCCAGCCATCGCAGGAGCCACAGCAGCCGTTGCCGCCGGTCTCCTCTCTGCCTGCTCGGCCTTCCCTCCCCGGACCGCTCGCCGGTGTCTCCCCCACCGCCTGCTGACCTTCCTGTCTACGGTCCTGTGTTCCCGCCGCCAGACTCGTCTCCAGCCCGTCTTCCCCCTCGTTCCCCTCCTGTGTCCCCTCCGCTGTCCCCTGACCCTACACCTCCGTCCCACGTTTGGTCTCGCCGTCCCTCCCATGCTCGTCCCTCTTAGAAATAGACTGCAAATACCACTTTTGTATTTGTACTTTTATATCCTAGTTTAGGTTATGAATGTTCTAGTGGGTTGGGGTGTACTCACAAATCCCAACCTCACCCAATTATGATCCCCCCAATCTCCAATTACCCAATTGGAGATTCCGGAGATCCCAATGGGGATTCCCTCCAATTCCTCCTTCATCCATTCACTCTCACCTTGCCATGTACTTATAGAGCCTTGGGCTCCTTACCTAATTAATCATTTCAACTCTATTTCTTACATGGTATCAGAGCGACCTATCCGCACACGCGGATCAAGGTCCTAATCTCAACGTGCCCGCGCTACGCGCACTTCATCGTCGCGACATTCGTTTCGACTCGTCGGAATTTCGACGTGCTCCACTCTGCAGTCACGCCTCTCATCCTTGACCGCCTTCGCGCTCGACCTTGTTGAATTTCTAATCTCTGAAGCTTTCACGCTTCTCATCGTCGAATTCCTCCTCGGTTCTCCTTGGTGGAATCTCAATTTCGACCATCTTGTAAAACTCGTTCTCGAGTTTCCCCTCAAACCCCGCCAGAATAGGCGAACTCTCATCGCGAAATCGCCTCCACGAACGTCTTGCGTCAAATCAAGAGCAGGTATACAGGTTGAAGCGGAGCGGAGCTGGTTGCGGAGCTGGTTGCGGAGCTGATTGCGGAGCTGGTTGTGGAGCTGGTTGCGGAGCTGTGTAACTGCGGGACAGGGCCTGGGGGTGTGTGGGGGTGTGTGGGTCCGGGGTTAGACATAGGCTCAGATTCAGTTTCAAGTCGGCGTTTTAACAAATTTTCGCCGACGCCATTTCCTACTTAGCGGCATTTTGATACAGCCGTCAGGGTGATTTTCAGCAATTCTCGTCGACCAATTTCCAGAAGTGCCACGCTGCACACCGACAATGGCTTACTCAACCACTTCACTCGCCAACCCGATCCCGCTCCTTCGTCTCGAGCCGGACGGCACATGCTCCAACTACAAGGCCTGGTGCTATGGTGTCGACAAGGACCTCCTCAGTCGCGAGGTGAAGGGGCTCGAGCTCACCGACATCCTTCTCAACATCAATGACGGCAAAGAGCCTCCTAAACCCGAGAGGTCCGCCGATCCAGCTAATGCCGCCGCCGAAGCAGTTTATGCTGCTGCACTGCTCAAGTACAAGAATTGGGAGAAGGGCGATGGTGCGGTCATTAGTGTCTTCATGGGCACCACTCCTCCCGAACTCGTCGAAACCTACCACAACTACCCGTCTGCCAACGCCATTTGGCTCTACCTCGAAGATCGCTTCCTGAACAAGACTGCAGTGGGAGTTGCTATACTCATCCCCAGCATGTTCCAAGTGCGGCTCGAGGACTCGCCAGGCATGGCGGACTATGTCACCAAGGTGCAGTCCATTCATGGTGAACTCAAACAGTTGGGGATAGTCTTCCCCGAGCAAGCCCCTGCAGCCGCTCTCCTAGTCGGCCTCACTCCGGCATACGAAGTCACACGCAAGATGCTCTTGGGCCTTGCTCCTGCAGACCTCACATTTGCCAAGGTCTCATCCGCGCTCCTTTCTGCCGAAAAGGACAACAGCGCTCAAGCCAAGGCCAATGCAATCCGCGCTCCCGTGCCTCAAGCCTATGCCGCTTCGGCGTCATTCCAGCGCAACCGCTTCCCCCCGTGTCCTTACGTCATCAAGCGCGGCCCTCGTGCTGGCCAGGTGTGTGGCAGCACCAACCACGCCCTTGCCTCCTGCTTTAAGAAGAAGGATGACGAGTGGTATGCCGTCAATGGGACTGCCTCGAAGCAGCCAAGCGGGATGGTCAATCGTGCTCCTCGCCAAGTCAATCAAGTCGAAGCGCAGGAATCCGTGCAGGCTGCTGTGGCTGCACCTGCTGATGTGCGCCTCAACATGTTGTTCCCTGGCACTGCTATGATTAATGAGACGATTTCGCAGTATCCTGGCTTATAAAGCACCTCAGCTACAATAGAGTTCACCCTCGACAGTGGGGCCACTCACACGGTTCTCAAGGAAGAACACTCCTTCAAGCCAAACGATACACCAATCCGTCTATTTGGAGCAGACTCCAGTTTCACAACACACGCCAAGGGCTCCTCCACAGTTCCGTGCCCAGCCTTTCCTTCGGGCAGTGTGACTGGCATG